TGGAGTACAGAAAGAAGCAGAGCAAAGCCTAATAGAGTTTTGCCAAGAGAACACACTGGTCATAGCAAACACCCTCTTCCAACAACATAAGAGAAGAATCTACGCAAGGATTGTACCAGATGGTCAATACCGAAATCAGATTCATTAAATTCTTTGCAGCCAAAGACGGAGAAGTTCTATACAGTCAGCAAAAACAAGACCGGGAGCTGACTGCAGATCAGATCAAGAATTCCTTAGTGCCAAATTCAGACTTAAATTGAAGAAAGTAGGGAAAACCACTAGACCATATAGATATGACCTAAAACAAATGGCTTAAAATATTACAGTGAAAGTGGCAAATAGATTCAACAGATTAGATCTGATAGACAGAGTGCATGAAGAACTATGGACGGAGATTTGTACATTGTAAAGGAAGCAGTGATCAAGACCATCCCAAACAAAAACAAATGCAAAAAGGCAAAATGGTTGTCTGAGGAGGCCTTACATATAGCTGTGAAAAGGAGAAAAGTGAAAGGCAATGAGGGAAAGGAAAAATATACCCATTTGAATGCAGAGTTCTAAAGAATAGCAAGGAGAGATAAGAAAGCCCTCCTCAATGATCAGTGCAAAGAAATAGAGGAAAGCAATAGAATGGGAAAGACTAGAGATCTCTTCAAGAAAATTAGAGATACCAACAGAATATTTCATGCCAAGATGGGCACAATAAAGGACAGAAATGGTATGGGCCTAACAGAAGCAGAAGATATTAAGAAGAGGTGGCAAGAATACACAGAAGAACTGTAAAAAACAGATCTTCATGACCCAGATAATCACAATGGTATGCTCACTCACCTAGAGCCAGACATCCTGGAAGGCAAAGTCAACTGGGCCTTAGGAAGCATCACTATGAAGAAAGCTAGTGGAGGTGATGGAATTCCAGTTGATCTATTTTAAATCTTAAAAGATGATGCTGCACTCAATATGTCAGCTAATTTGGAAAACTCAGCAGTGACCACAGACTGGAGAATGTTAGTTTTCATTCCAATCCCAAAGAAAGGCAATGCCAAAGAATGCTCAATCAATTCAACTCATCTTACACTCCAGCAAAGTAATGCTCAAAATTCTCGAAGTCAGGCTTCAACAGTAGGTGAACCATGAACTTCCAGATGCTCAAGCTGGATTTAGAAATTGCAGAGGAACCAGAGATCAAAGTACCAACATGCAATGGATCATAGAAAACACAAGAGAATTCCAGAAAAAGAATAAAAAAAACACCTAATTCTCTTTTATTGACTATGTCAAAACCTTTGACTATGTGGATCACAAAAGACTGGAAAATTCTTAAAGAGATGGGAATACCAGACAGCCTGACCTGCCTCCTGAGAAATTTGTATGCAGGCCAAGAAGCAACAGCGAGAACTGGACAAGGAAAAACAAACTGGTTCCAAATCGGGAAAAGAGTGTGTCAAGGCTGTATATTCTCAGTCTGCTTATTTAACTTATATGAAGAGTACATCATGAGAGACGGTGGGCTGGATGAAGCACAAGCTAGAATCAAAATTGCCAGGAGAAATATCAATAACCTCAGATATGCAGATGACACCACCCTTATGGCAGAAAATGAAGAAGAACTAAAGAGCCTCTTGATGAAAGTGAAAGAGAAGAGTGAAAAAGTTGGCTTAAAACTCATCATTCAGGAAATTAAGATCATGGCATCTGATTCCATCACTTCATGGCAAATAGATGGGGAAACATTGGAAAGAGTGGCAGACTTTTTTGGAGGGGTGCTCCAAGATCACTGCAGATGGTGACTGCAGCCATGAAATTAAAAGATGCTTGCTCCTTGGAAGAAAAGTTCTGACCAACCTAGACAGCATATTAAAAAGTAGAGACATTACTTTGCCAACAAAGCTCCATATAGTCAAAGCTATTGTTTTTCCAGTAGTCATGTTTGGATGTAAGAGTTAGACTATAAAGCTGAGGGCCAAAGAGTTGATATTTTTAACTGTGGTGTTAGAGAAGACACTTGAGAATCCGTTGGACAGCAAGCAGATCCAACCAGTCCATCCTAAAAGGAAATCAGTTTTGAATATTCATTGGAAGGTCTGATACTGAAGCTGAAACTCCAACACTTTGGCCACCTGATGAGAAGAACTGACTCATTTGAAAAGACTGTGATGCTGGGAAATATTGAAGGTGGGAGAAGGGGACAACAGAGGACGAGATGGTTGGATGGCATCACCGACTCAATGGACATAGGTTTTAGCAAACTCTGGGATTTGGCAATGGACAGGGAGGCCTTGCGTGCTTCAGTCCATGCGTTTGCAGTGTCAGACACGACTGAGTGGCTGAACTGAACTGAACTCCTTAAAGTGAAAATGAAAATGAAGTCACTCAGTCGTGTCTGACTCTTTGCGATCCCATGGACTGTAGCCTACTAGGCTTCTCCATCCATGGGATTTTCCAGGCAAGAATAAAAGGAAATGCCTACTTGTGACTCCTTGTCACTGTATTATTACTTATTCTGTTTGGAATGCTCTTTCCATGCATATCTGTCTGCAAAACTTTAATTTGTTCTTCAAAACTAAGAGCTGTAGTTAAAACCTCAGGTTTGTTTTTTTTTTTTCAAGTGTAACATCTAAATGTTGTTAAATATTTCTGGGAGACCGAACAAGAAATAATTTCTTATTGCTCTAGAAATAAATGAGATGTTGTGTTGTTCACTTGCTAAGTCATGTCCAGCTCTTTGCGACCCTATATACTGCAGCCAGCCAGGCCTCCCTGTCTTTCACTATCCCTCAGAATTTGCTCAACTTCATGTCCACTGAGTTGGTGATGCTCTCTAACCATCTCATCCTCTGCCACCCTCTTCTCCTTTTGCCTTTAATCATTCCGAGCAACAGGATCTTTTCCAATGAGTCAGCTCTTCACATCAGATGGCCAGATTATTGGAACTCAAACTTCAGCTATAGTCCTTCCAATGAATATTCAAGCTTTATTTCCTTTAGGATTGACTGGTTTGATCTCCTTGCTGTCCAAGGGACTCTCAAGAGTCTTCTCCAGCACTACAATTTGAAAGCATCTATTCTTTGGCAACCAGTCTTCTTTATGGTCCAACTCTTACATCCATACATGACTACTGTAAAAACCATAACTTTGAGTATATGGACCTCTGTCAGCAAAGTTATGTCTTTGTTTTAATACACTCTCTAGTTTTGTCATACCTTTCCTTCCAAGGAGCAAGCATCTTTTATATGTCATGGCTGTAGTCACTGCCTATAATGATTTTGGAGCCCAAGAAAATAAAATCCGTCAATGCTTTGCTTTCCCCCCATCTATTTGCCATGAAGTGATGATCAGATGCTGTGATCTTAGTTTTTTGAATGTTGAGTTTCAAGACAGCTTTTTCACTCTCCTCTTTCACCCTCATCAAGAGGCTCTTTTTTTTTTTTTGTCATGCTTAAGATTTATTGACTACATGACAGTTTTATTCCAATTTTTTTTAACTCACATGGATTTATTAGAATATGAAAAAGACTCGGTCTCTTCTGTACAGGCGGCAGAGCGGCAGCAGCTGGAGTGGCTTTGAACGTGGTTGTCAGCGTCACCCTTGCACGGTGACTCCTGCCCAAAACAGCACTTACATGGAGAGGAGGGGGAGATGAGCACCCACTGCCCAGCCCACTGGGGAGGGGGGTGCTCTGACTATTGCACGATCCTGGGGAGAGCAGTACCCTAGAGAGAAGGACAGAGACCACTAGGCCTGGGCCCGGCCCATGGCGGCCATGGGAGCAGGAGTGCATTTCTGTGAGCAAAGGCCTCTGGGGGCCCAGGACTCCGCTCACCCATCAGCCCTGGCCAGTGAGAGATAGGGGACACCCCCGCCCTCTGAGGACAGGGCGCCACAGCAAGCTGATGCAGTGCTTACAAGAGAGGATCCAGGGGCCAATGGGGGCGCGGAGGGGGTGGAGAGAAAGAACAGGCCAGCAGGAGCTGAGGGTCAGGCCCAAGAGAAAGAAGGTCCTAAGAGGCCCAGCATCTATGAGTTAGAGAAAGTCATGATTGGGGTGTTTGTGTGTGTGTGCGTGTGCGTGTGTTGGAGGCGGGGTGGTGAGGTCATTTCTGAAATCAGAGCCCTGTGCACAGACAGAGGACTGATTTGGGGAAGAGTGTTGGGCAGACAGGCACGTATGCAGATGAGTGATGCTCTGGAGTAGGATGGTGGGAGTTCTGTTCAGGCAGGGGTTTTCAAAAATTTTTTAAAAACAGGAATGCCCTCTGTGCAAATAGAATCGTACATGGAAGTGTGAACAAACAAAACAGATACAAAGGCAGCACTCTCCGGAGCTCCGATCAGCAGCCCCTGAAGGGCCCAGTGGTCCCTGCTGGAGCCCAGTTTGAAGGAGCTGAGTCCCAGCTCCAGACAGAGCTCAGAGGTGCCCTCAGCCTGCAGCTCTGAGTAAGGACAGGTCAGGTGAGGTGGCCAGTGTGAGAGCCGCCAGGAGGACGGCATGGCTACGGGTCCCCAACCCCTCCCCAAGTCCACGGGTCCCCGACCCCTCCCCAAGTCCGACGCCTGGTCCCCTAGTCTCTTCCCTGTTAATGGAGGCCCCGGCTCCTTCCCTTCGCAGGAGGGACCAAGGCTGAGCCAGAGGCTCTTTGGTTAGAAACTAAGATTGATTTGAATGAGCAGGGTGACGGAATGGGAGGGGCCCCGCGGAGGTCTACAGGACTCCGAGGCCCTGGTCCGGGTAGGGAGAGAGCTTGGCTCGGGAGGGGGCAGGTCCGCCTCCGATGGATGGATCAGGAAGGCAGTTCTGGCGGGAGGGAGGGTGCTTCCCGGGAGGCGGGGGGAAGCCGTGCTGCGGTGGGGGCTGTGGGCCCAGCTGCCATGCGGTGGGGGAGGGCCAGAGCCAGTCCAGGTTGGGAAGGACGAGGGGAACCCCCCCGCCCCGCCAGCAGCCCCGGCTCTGGTGGGAGAGTCCGTGGTGGGAAGGGCACCGCCCACTGGCCCCCCAGGGCTACTGGCCCTTGGGGATGAAAGGCTCTCCCTCCCCAGGCTCAGGGTCGGGGCCTGGGTCACTGAGGCAGCGCTGTATCCTCTGAGAGCTGGGGCTGTCGCTAGGCGCTGGGGTGAAGACGTCGTCGGTGCCCGGGGACGAGGGCTCCTTGGTCCGCATCGTGAGGCCCTCGTCGGGGTCTTCGTCATCCTCCTCCTCCTCGGCCAGCCTCCCCGGATTTCGGCTCAGCCCCAGGGCCTTGCCCTTCAGCTCCTCGTTCACCAGGTCCACGGACTCGGGCGACTGCGGGGAGGCCGGGTCGATGGTGATCACAGGCAAGTCAGCCTTGGGCTCATAGGCCAGCGGGTCTGAACCGATGCGGGCCCGTGACATGGTGGGCGAGTCCAGCTTGTGGGCTGGCACCGTCAAGTAGTTGTTGATCTTCTGCTCCAGTTGCCGGGCCTTCTGTCTCCGGAGCAGCATCTGGTTCCAGGCCTCCTCGTAGGGGTCGGCCACCAGCGTGTGTCTGTTGTAGGACCACAGCCGCTGTCTGGTCTTCTGCAAGTTGTTCCTCAGGATTTTGCGGATCTCTTCTTCCTTGTCCTTGGACAGTGCTGGCAGGATGCGCTCCGCCGGCAGGGACTTGGGGTGGATGTTCTGCATGGAGACGGTGGAGACGGCCGACGGGATCTTGCCCATGCCCCCACTTTCCACCAGCTCGATGGCCTGCTTCATCTCCATCTTGTGGTAGAAAGCGATGAGCTGGGGCTCCTTGGAGCGCTCGCCAGCTATCAGACACTTCTTCACGTACTTCTTATTAAAGCGGTTGAGCTTGTCTTTCCAGTGGTGGTGGCCGTAGTGGCCACAGATGTCCTCGATGCCTGTCAGAAGGTGGTCCAGGAACTGCGTGTGGATCTCCTCGTTAATAGATCGCTTCGTTTCTTGCTTTTTCTTCACAGCCAGCAGGTCTACCAGGGGCCGAATGGTCATGCCCTGCACAAAGACGGTGAAAAAAATGACGGTGATGATGGCCGTGAGGAACAAGTCACATATAGGGAAGTGCTTCTTGTCCAGGAGGTAGCCCAGGGAGAAGGCGATGGCCTTCATGTGTTTGCTAGCCATTTGTATGTCTTCTTTGGAGAAATGTCTGTTTAGTTCTTTGGCCCATTTTTTGATTGAGTCATTTATTTTTCTGGAGTTGAGCTGGAGGAGTCAGCATCATCTTTTAAGACTTTAAAAATCTCAGCTGCATTTCTGTCATCTCCATTAGCTTTGTTTGTAGTAGTCACTTTCACTTTCACTTTTCCTAAGCTCCACTTGACTTCACACTCTAGGTCGTCCAGCTCTACTTGAATGACGACATCATCGTGGTTATTTGAATCATTATGACCTCTTTTGTAGAGTTCTTCTGCAGAGTATTCTTGCCATCTCTTCTTAATATCTTCTGCCTCTGATAGGTCCTTACCATTTCTGTCGTTTATCATGCCCAGGCTTGCATTAAATGTTCCCTTGATACCGCTAATCCTCCAATGTTCATGATGAGATCTCTAGCCGTTCTCATTCTATTGTTTTTCTCTACTTCTTTACATTATTCATTGAAGAAGGCTTCTTATCCCCCCTTGCCATTCTCTGTAACTTTGCATTCATTTGGGTATATATTTCCCCTTCTCCTTTGTTTTTCACTTCTCTTCTTTACTCAGCTATTGGTAAAACCTCCTCTGACAACTGCTTTGCCTTCATATATTTCTTTTTCTTTGGGATGGTTTTGGTCATTGTCTCCTCTACAGTGTTGTGAACCTTTGTCCATAGTTCTTCTGGTGCTCTATCAGATCTAATCCCTTGAATCTATTTGTCACCTCCACTGTATAATCATAAGGGGTTTGATATAGGCCATACCTGGTCTCATTTCCCCTACTTTATTCAAGTTAAGTCTGAATATTGCAATAAGGAGCTTATGACCTGAGCCACAGTCAGCTCCAGGTTTTGTTTCTGCTGAATTTATAGAGTTTCTCCATACTTGGTTGCAAAGAACATAGTCAATCTGATTTTGACATTGACCATTTGGTGATGTCCACGTGTAGAGTCATTTCTTTTGTTGTTGGAAAAGTGTGTTTGCTATAACCAATATGTTCTCTTGACAAAACTCTGTTAGCCTTTTCCCTGCTCCATTGTGTCCCCCAAGGCCATTCTTGCCTGTTACTCCAGTTATCTTGTGATTTACAACATTGCATTCCAATCCCCTATGATGAAGTTGACATTTTTTTGTTGTTGTTATTAGTTCTAGAAGCTTTTGAAAGTCTTCACAAAACTAATTAATTTCAGTTTCTTCAGCATCAGTGGTTGGGGCATAGACTTGGATTACTGTGATGTTGAATGTTTTGCCTTGTAAATTATCTGTGATCATTCTGTCATTTTTGAGATAGCAGTCAAGAACTGCATTTCAAGCTCTTTTTTGACTATGATGGCTACTCCATTTCTTCTAAGGAATTCTTGCTGACAGAAGTAGATATTATGGCCATCTGAATTAAATTTGCCCACTCCTGTCCATTTTAGTTCACTCATTCCTAAGATGTGTATGTTGACTTTTGCCATCTCCTGCTTAACCACATCCTATTTACCTTGATTCATGGACCTAACTTTCCAGGTTCCTATGAAATATTGTTCTTTAGAGCATCGGACTTTACTTTCACCAGCAGGCATATTCACAACTGAGCATTGTTTCTGCTTTCATTCTTTCTGGAGCTATTAGTAATTGCCCTCTGCTCTTCCCCAGTAGCATATTGGATACCTTCCAACTTGGGGGACTTATTTTGTGGTGTCATATATTTTTGCCTTTTCATACTGTTAATGTTCATAGGGTTCTCATGGCAAGAATACTGGAATGGTTTTCCACTCCCTCCTCCAGTGGACCATATTTTGTCAGAACTCTCCACTCTGAACCATCTGTCCTGGATGGCCCTGCACGGCCATAGCTTCATTGAGTTATGCAAGTCACTTCAACATGACAAAGTTGTGCTCCATGAAGCAGAGATATTTTAAAATTATCTTTTATCAAATTACTGACAAAAGGTAAATGCTCAAAAATTATAAGTTAACATTTAATTTGGTAAATTTTCATATCAATTCAATATCAAATCTTAACTTTAAAAAGTATAACTTACATGATGAGTTCCTATTAGAGAAATTCAGTGACAAATGTATAATTAGGAAATGTTTTAACTAGTTTCATTATTTTGTGTTCAATTTGTATACATAACTCTTTCATGTATAATAGAACTAGTAATTAAACTTTTTTTTTTCCAAATAAGAAAAGAAAACTTGTTCTTGAGATACCTTAACATAACCAGGTTATATTCGAGGCAACAGATAGAAATTCTGGTTTCAAATTGCCCTCTACTTTGTAGATAATTAATCAGATAATTTTCCAAACCCTCAGCTGATGTAATCTAATGTGAGAAACATATGATGTTGATGCATTTTTATATACAAATAGGAGAATATTCTTACAGAAGAAATACATGCGGTTTGTTCTGAAGGCTGCTGCGCAAAATAGTTTTAGTTGGCATCGTCATTAAATTAAATCACCATTATACCTCCTAAGAAGTTGTACTACCATCTCTATAGCAGTATAGTGACAAAGATTATGTCATTGTTCAAATTCTTCTCAGGCTCTCTTGAACTCTTTTTTAATGAGGGTTGATTTTAGCCTTCTTTGTTCTTCTCTGCATTGTGCAGTTTTATCAAGAATTCTTCCTGTGTGAGTTTAGCCATAATAGCCCATTCTCCTTTTTACAATGGGTTTGTCCCCAGGACACAGGTCTCATGAAAACCACTGCTAAATCTAAGCCAAAATGGGAAAGAAGACCCACATCAATATCATTTTCACTGGACATGTAGATTTGGAGAAGTCTACCAACACTGGCCATTTGGTCTACAAATATGGTAGAATCAACAAGAGAACCATTGAAAAGTTTGAAAGAGAGGCTACTGAGATGGGAAAGAGCCCCTTCAAGTATGCTTGGGTCTTGGAAAAACTGAAAGCTAAATGTGAGTATAGTATCACAATTGATATCTCCCTTTGGAAATTTGAGACCAACAAGTACTATGTGACCATCATTGACACCCCAGGATACAGAGACTTCATCAAAAACATGATTATAGGCACATCACATCTCAGGGTGGCTGTGCTGTCCTGATTGCTGCTCCTGGTGTTGGAGAATTTGAAGCCAGTATCTCCAAGATACTGTGAGCATGACCTGTGAGCATGCCCTTCTAACATGGGTGTGAAACATCATTGCATTTAACAAAATGGATTCCACTGAGCCACCCTACAGCCAGAAAAGATATAAGGAAATTGTTAAATAAGGTAGCACCTACATTAAGGAAACTGGCTACAACTCCAACACAGTAGCATTTGTGTCAATCTCTGACTGGAATGGTGACAACATGCTGGAACCAAGTGCTAACATGCCTTGGTTCAAGGGATGCAAAGTCACCCATAAAGAATGCAATGCCATTGGAATCACGCTCTTTGAAACTCTGCATTGCATCCTACCACCAGCTCATCTAACTGACAAGCTCTTGTATTTGCCCTTCCAGGACATCTACAAAATTGGTGGTATTGATACTGTCCCTGTAGGTTGAGTAGAGATTGATTGGTGTCCTCAAATCTGGCATGATAGTCACTTTTACTCTTGTTAACATAACAACTGAAGTGAAGTCTGTTGAAATGCACAATGAAGCTTTGAGCAAAGCCCTTCCTTGGGACAATGTGGGCTTCAATGTCAAGAACATATCTGCCAAAGATGTTTTTCATGGCAGTATGGCTGGTGACAGCACAAAAGGACCCACTGATAGAAGCAGCTGATTTAACAGCTCAGGTGATTATCTTGAACCATCCAGGCCAAATCAGTGCTGGATATGCACTTGAGCTGGATTATCACACAGCTCACATTGCTTGTAAGTGTGATGAGCTGAAGGAAAAGATGGATTGTTGTTTTGGGAAAAAGCTGTAATATGTCCCCAAATTCTAGAAATCTGGTGATGCTGCCATCATTGATATGGTTCCTGGCAGGCTGATGTGTCTGTATTGAGCATTTCTTTGATGCCTCTGGGCCATTTTGCTGTTTGTGACATGAGACAAATGATTGCTGTCTGTGTCATCAAAGAAGTGGACAAGAAAACAGCTGAGGATGGCAAGGTCACCAAGTCTTCCCAGAAAGCTCAGAAAGCTAAATTGATATTATCCCCAATACCTGCCACCCAAGTCATAATCAGTGGTGGAAGAACAGCCTCAGAACTGTTTGCCTCAATTGGCCACTTAAGTTTAACAGTAAAAGACTGGTTGATGATAACCTTCAGAAGGAAAGGAGAATGTTTTATGGACCATTTGATTTTTGTGTTGCAGTTTTAAGCTACTATTTTTTTAAATAAGTATTTTAATGGAAATAACTGGACTGAAATCTGTAATATAATTTGAGACCCATTGAAAAAATTAATCAGAAACTTGTGGTCAACACTGTAACTTCCTACAGTACTACTTAGGTAAGAGTTGCCCAGTACCTATTTCTGGTAAACTGAAAAACTTCATATTTCTGGTTTGGAGTTTCCAGTTTCTTAATCTTGTATAAGGAGGGCTCATCTGTTTAAGTATGTCTTAAAAAACATTGGTGAGACACTTCATATGTTAAGACACGTGAGCAAAGAGTAACTACATTTTATATGTAACACTAGTTTAAGAAGGTCAAATTCTATATGAAAACTCATGTTGCATATAGAATTGTGTATGGTTACATAAATATTGAGTAAATTTGTTATGCCAAATTTTAGTTTCCCAGTTATGAGAATGTGCATTCACATTTACCATATTTAAGTAATCTAAAATGTGAGGCTTAAATTGTATTGAGCACTGCCCTGTTAGAATTAATTGTATCCAGGTTCTAGGAAAATTAAAAGGGGCTGGAAGCTAAAGAAAAAAAAATCTCCAATAT